TTTTATCTCTTTGAGCAAAGAACTGTTCCAGGTGCCTTTTACAGTCTTCCAGGGAATTTTTCCATTAAGAGAATTTTGTAAAGACCATAAATGGAAATCCAAAGGTGCAGTGTCTGATGAATATGGTGGATGAATCAGAACTTCCCAGCCAAGCTGTAAGTTTTTGCCTGGTCATCAAAGAAACAGGTGATGTGGCATTATCCTGATGGAAGATTATGCGTTTTTTGTTGACTAATTCTGGACGCTTTTCGTCGAGTGCTGCTTTCAGTTGGTCTAATTGGGGGCAGTACTTGTTGGAGTTAATCGTTTGGTTTTCCAGCAGGAACTCATAATAGAGAACTCCTTTCCAATCCCACCATATACACATCACCTTCTTTGGATGAAGACCGGCCTTTGGTGTGGTTGGTGGTGGTTCATTTTGCTTGCCCCACGGTCTCTTCTGTTCCCCATTATTGTATAGTAGGGGCCCCCAATCCCTGGGCTGCAGACTGGTGCTGGTCTGAGGCCTGTTAGGAACTGGACCACACATCAGGAGGTGAGTGTTGGGCAAGCGAGTGAAGCTTTATCTGGTGCCCCCATTACCGCCTGAACCATCGCCCCCCACCCCCACCCCAGGTCCGTGGAAAAATTGTCTTCCAGGAAAGCAGTCCCTGGTGCCAAAAAGGTTGGGGGCTGCTGTTGTACAGTATCCATTTTTCATTGCCCGTCACAATTTGTTTTAAAAACGGAACGTTTTCATTATGTTTAAGTAGAGAATCGCATGCAGAAGTACTGTCAAGAAGGTTTTTTTTGCTTATCTTACGTGGAACCCAAACATCAAAGTGATGAACATAATCAAACTGGTGCAAATGATTTTTAGTGCTTGATTTGGATCTTTTGAGTATTTTGGCTATCTCCCTCGTGGTATAACGTTGATTGTTCTCAATTAATGTCTTGATTTGATCATCGTCAACCTCATTTCAGCTGGTTTGCCTTACCGTGGAGCATCATCTAGCGAGAAATCTCTAGCATGAAACTTCGCAAACCACTTTTTTTTTTTTTTTTTTTTTTTTTTTTTTTTTTTTTTTTTTTTTTTTTTTTTTTTTGCGGTATCCAGTCCTTTCACTGTTGTGGCCTCTCCCGTTGCAGAGCACAGGCTCCGGACGCGCAGGCTCAGCGGCCATGGCTCACGGGCCTAGCCGCTCCGCGGCATGTGGGATCTTCCTGGACCGGGGCACGAATCCTTATCCCCTGCATGGCAGGCGGACTCTCAACCACTGCGCCACCAGGGAAGCCCGCGCAAACCACTTTTGACACGTTCGATCAGTCACAACACCTTCTCCATACACTGCACAAATCTTTTGCATTTTAGTTGAGTTTTTACCCTTCTTGAAATAATAAAGCATGATAAGCTGAAAATGTTGCTTTTTTTTTCCATCTTCAATATTAAAAATGGCTACACAAAAATTCACTAGTTTTGATAAGGTTTTTTTTTAATGCATGCTGATATGACAGCTGTCACATACAGTCTAGCAAAATTGTTTCGTATGAAGTTAAAGACAAGTGCAACTAGAGCCATCTTACGGAAAAAACTGAAAGAAACTTTTGGCCAACCCAGTATCTGTCTCTTGCCACATTCCATAAATGACATAAGCCTGTTTATCAAGATTATTTTATATTTGAAATAATATATATACATTCTTTTCTAAATATTCTTTTTTTAAACTTCTACTGGTCTTTATTAAAAGGAAAACTATTATCTGAAAACAAAGACCCAATGTAGTCTCAGGCTAAGTATCATTGACAGAACCCCTCAAGCTACAGCCCAGGCACCTAATCTTGGCACTACAATGTTGTCCTTGACTCTGCCCTCTCTCTCCCCATCTCAAACTCTGGGGATTCGCTTCCTACCAGGATATTCCTCTCCAGCCAGGCAAGATATCTCAGCCTCCAGGACCCCACCCTTCCTGCCAGGATGGTGGCCACAGGGTCATCCCCCTATCCCCGCCCCCTGCACACCTGGTCAAGGTGACTGCTACACACGCGGGGCCGCCACACTCTGAAATTGTCTTGTCAGCACCCTGGATACACTTGAAACGTCTTTAAAGTCTCCAGCCCATTAACAATAGGGTCACTACAACAATAGGGCAGATGCAACCTCCTCTGAGCTCAGTGTGGTGGCGTCCAAAGCTCCTAAAATCCGAGACTTAGGTTCTCCCACCCCATGTCACTCCCTGGGGCATAAGAACTACTACTCAGCCCTCAGGCCTCAGCTCGAAGGTTTCTTCTCTAAGAAGCCTGCCCGGCACTCGACAGGCCGAACCCGGCGCCCTCTCCTGGGGGCCCCATGCCCCCTCAGTCTGGGCAGAGATGACACCCGGAGTCAGGCACCATCCCGGCCCCTTCCAGGGCCAGGGGCTCCTCGGGTGCAGGAGGAAGCCGAAATGCGCAGTTACGGCGTCCACGTGCTGGGCCTGCGCGGGGTTGGGCGCCTGCTCCTCAGATGGAAAGACTTTAACTTCATGAAGATAGGAGTCCCCCGGTGGCCCACAGGCCTTTTTCCCGGCGCTTCCCGACGCCTAAATATTCTTTTCCATTCTAGTTTATCCCAGGATATTGAACAAAATGATAACTATATAGTAATAAGAGCCAATATTTATTGAACACTTATTATGTGCCAGATGTTTTTCTAGAATCTTTGCACGTAGTTCATTTAATTCTTACACCTCAGTGAAGTAGTTACTGTTATTACTATCTCCACTCCGCATATGAGGCAACTGAGGAGGCAGGAGGAGTAATTAGAGGAGCCAGGATTTGAACCAGGCTGTCCAGCTGCAGAGCCCACACTTTTAACCACCATCCTGTCTTTGCCTTATGCAAATGGCCCATGTGTGTACACAAGGGTGCAAAGGTTTTGCATAGAAAGAGTGGCAATTCTTCATGGAATTGGTTCAAAGTTCTCATTATTTTTAACTTTTTTTTTTAATTCAAAGGTATTTGTATTTTGGCATTCTTCTTTTCTATTATAAATAAGTTGATCACAAAACAGGGCTTCAAACACAAGCCAAAGGATGGCTGAGTTTACTGTAGCTGAACTTGACTGCTGAGGTCCTCAGGTGATAGTAGGCAGGGTTGATGCTCTCTGACCTCCTCAGACCTTAGCTTTGTTCACACAGTGGTAAGTGGAGTTTTCTGCAGTGATTTTTTGAAACAGTGTCAGATGGAAAGGGAACTATTAGGTTCGACCATATGAAATGGCCAATATCTAACCTTTCTTAACCTACAAAAACGGCAAATTCGTATGGTTCAACTTAATAGGCCGAAGGGGAGGAAATTCCACAGAAACTGTTTGTATTTTAAGAAAGAATTTTAGGATGTATTGGAGGTTTGAATTTTGAATTTCTTCACTGACTTTTTTGTTTTTCCTGTACAACTGTTTGTATGAGAAGTATGTATTCCATTTCATTTCTTGTTACTTTTTCTTAACTGTATCTGATTTGAACCTCTTTGTTATGTCTCTTGTCATGGATAGAAAGTGATTTAAGGCATTATGCTTTGGGATGTGTATGTGTATATAATTTGTTACTTGTTTAAATGCCTATGTAACAGAATCCATCAGATCATCAAGCCTACCAGTTTTATATATGTATTATGTATGTATGTATGTATGGCTGCGTTGGATCTTCGTTGCTGCATGCAGGCTTTCTCTCACTGCAGCGAGTGGGGGCTACTCTTCGTTGTGGTGTGCAGGCTTCTCATTGCAGTGGCTTCTCCTGTTGCGGAGCACGGGCTCTAGGCGTGCGGGGCTCAGTAGTTGTGGCTCATGGTCTCTAGAGCGCAGGCTCAGTAGTTGTGGCTCACAGACTTAGTTGCTCCTGTGGTATGTGGGATCTTCCCGGACCAGGGCTCGAACCCATGTCCCCTGCATTGGCAGGCGGATTCTTAACCACTGTGTCACCAGAGAAGTCCCAAGCCTCCTAGTTTTATAATCATACCCTAGTGCTGATTTTGAAATGTAGAGGATGATTCAGATTGAGCTTAATAATTTTTTTTATTCCTTCTGATTATGGAACGGTACTTGAAAAAGTAATCGTAATATTTACCAAAAGTTCAGCATGCTATTCACTTCTAATGGGAATTGTGTCATTGCATTTAGGAAAAATTTGATTCACTCAAGAAAGTTCTGTCCATTCAGGATATGCTTGGGTGACTTAATCTGTAGAGTAGGAGTGATTTGAGTCTATGGTGATTGCTCTCATTAGGGTGAGGGCATTGTGAAGGGAGTCTTCAATAAACTGAGTTTCTAACACTTATGAATTCCTTGTGACAGCATTACTTTTTGTCATTGATTCATGACAGACCATTGCCTTCAGTTTATTTGGTTTGGGGAGAGGGTGTCAGACTTTTTTTTGTCTCTTTGAATTTGATCATTGAGTTCTCCAAGTTTTCCACATGCCTTCCAGCTCCATTCAGTTGGTTGTCTTTTTTTCCTCCTCTTTTCTGAATCCTCTTGATCAGAGTACACGGTAGTGAAATCTCAAAAGCGCAATACTAAAAGCTTTGTAATAATTACTCTCCTTGTGCAAAAACCATTGTAAGATCCTTTCAGTTTCATAAAGAGATCCTACCAGAATATTCTCTAGTCTTGTCTGCACAAAGGTATCGGGATGGTAGAAAGTCTGAATCTGGTCCAACTATGAATAACAAGTGCTAGGTTGGATCCCTGATTTTTTTTTTTTTTTAGGATTTTCCCTTGTTCTTCTGAAACCCTGAGAACTTGTGTGGCTGCTTTAAAAAAGAAAAAAAAAAAGTTGATCTCTTCTTTCAAAAGATGAATCACAGTTGAGTCTCCGTTATTTACCCTGAAGTTACACCATTCTTTCAAACAGCAGTAGTCATTGATGTCTCCGTCTACATATGCATGCTGCTCTCTCACTCTCTGTTGCCATATGTTGTGTTAATGCATGTATTGTAATAGTTCGAATAAGCATGAGGGATCTGTTTTTTTTTTTTTTTTTCAGTAACAAATACTTGTAAGAAAACAGATGATTTTGTGACATCTAAAGCACCAGCTGTCGACCTAGATCACAAGTTTAGGTGCAAGGTTGTGGATTGTTTAAAATTTTTCCGCAAAGCCAAACTGTTGCACTATCACATGAAGTATTTCCACGGAATGGAGAAGTCACCAGAGCCAGAGGAGAACTCAGGAAAGAGGCATGTCCAGACGAGGGGCTCTTCAGCTTCAGACAAGGCCAGCCAGGAGAGCCTGACCAGGAAGCGGGTCTCGGCCAGTTCCCCAAGTAAGCATTTTGGTTCTGGGTTGTATCTGTATCATGAAGGGCTGACACAGAAAGCGGGGGTTAGGTTGGTCTGGTCCAGTTGAATCCCTCAAAATTGAAAATGACAGGTGATCCTCAGGAATTGCCTTGTGGAGTTGTAGCCTTCTTGGAGGAAGTAGAAATACCTGACTCTCATTCTTACCTCCACCTCTTGCTGCTCAAGTTAACCTTGAGAAAGTCACTTAGCCTCTGAAGGTCTTGGTACTCTTGGTATGGAGTGGGAACAATCAAGGAAAGGGAGCTCTGTTAGAAGCCAGCAGGAGAACTAGTGCTCGGAACAGCATGTCATCCCGTCCCTGCTAACAGAACAGAAGAACTAAGAGGTGATGTGGGATTCTCCTTCTGGGTGCAATTTTGTCATAATTGCAACCGAAGATATTTTCTAACAACACTGTTTATTTTACATAGAAACTACAGTGGTGGTAGTAAGGGTTACCATAAAATCTCATGTTCACGTCTTATTCTAAAACTTACAGAAATTGAAAAATTACATGTTTCTTGGGAGTTTCAGAGTAATTAATGAGTTTCCAGTAAATTCTACAAGCTTCCCAGCTTCGTTTTACCTGAAATTGTAACATCACTATATATTTTTTGGCTTGAACTTCTCTGTTAAAATACATAGGCATTAGATGGTATATGGAGCTCCTGGAACGTCTGACAGTGTTCCCAAGGGAGTACAGAGTTGGGTTTCAGACAGCAGGTCAGGGCCGTGCAGACTAAGGTGATCTCTGACCCTGTGAGAGGTCAGTTCTTAGCCAGGCTGTGAAGACATAATGTGTCAAGTGGCAGTTTCTTAGTCATATGTGCTGCATTATCCATTAGAAATATAATGTCAGCCTGTAACTTTTTCTTGTAGCCACATTTTAAAACGTAAAAAGAAACAGGTGAAACTTCTTTTTTTTTTTTTTTAATATTTATTTATTTGGCTGAGTTGGGTCTTAGTTGCAGCACGCAGGATCTTCGTTGTGGCACACAGGCTTCTCTTTAGTTGTGGTGTGTGGGCTCTGGAGCTCGCGGGCTCAGTGGTTGCAGTACATGGGCTCTTTAGTTGTGGCGTGTGGGCTTAGTTGTCCCGCAGCATGTGGGATCTTAGTTCCCTGACCAGGGAACGAACCCACGTCCCCTGCATTGGCAGGTGGATTCCTTACCACTGGACCACCAGGGAAGTCCCTGAAATTTCTTTTAATAAATTGTGTTAACTCAAAATATCCAAAATACTATCATTTCAGCATGTAATCAGCATAGAAGTTACTACTTAATAAGCTATTATGTGTTCTTTTTCTTGTATTAAGCCTTTAAAATCCAGTATGTGGGACTTCCCTGGTGGTACATTGGTTAAGAATCCGCCTGCCAATGCGGGGGACACGGGTTCAAGCCCTGGCCCGGGAAGATCCCACATGCCGCAGAGCACCTAAGCCCGTGCGCCACAACTACTGAGCCTGTGCTCTAGGACCCGTGAGGCACAACTACTGAGCCTGTGTGCCACAACTACTGTAGGCCATGCGCCTAGAGCCCGTGCTCCACAAGAGAAGCCACCGCAATGAGAAGCCCACGCACTGCAGCGAAGAGTAGCTCCTGCTCACCACAACTAGAGAAAGCCCACCCGCAGCAACAAAGACCCAGTGCAGCCAAAAATAAACAAATAAAATAAATTAAAAAAAAATCCAGTATGTGTTTTACATTTACTGAACATTTCAGTTCAGACTAACCACATTTCAGGTGCTAGTAGCTGCATATGGCTGGTGGCCACAGAATTGGCCCACGCAGCTCGATTACTAGATGTACACTAGCTGTAGGCAGTCTAGCTGTGCACTTGGCGAGCCCAAGCATTGAGCTAAAAGGAGCTGCCTGAGGAAGGCCAGCTGGCCAGTAGTCACCCAGGAGGGGCTCCCCATGTGGGCTGCAGGGCATGGCAGCACTCTCCACCTTAGTAACTTCACCAGAGTCCTGCTCAGGTACCCACCAGTGGATGGATATCTCTCAAAGCCGGGTGGTCTGAATCAGATAGCAGTAAATGATGCTCAATGCCAGGTGCCAGTTATTTATTTAAAACGAAGCAACAGCTGTCAAAACTCCTCTTCTCTGTCTAGCTTAGACCTTGTTTATTGAGCGTTGGAGCAGAGCACTGGAGTTAGAAATGCCTCAGGCTAAGATAGATTGACTTGTTCATTCAACGACTATTTATCGAATGCCTCTCTTCTGGGGAGTAAAAAGGAAACTTAGGTCTCATTCTGCCTGTTGCTCTTGGTTGTGGGTATTCCTGGCACAAAGAAGAAAGGACAGGCTCAGTTGTTAGATGGGAGCATCCTCTTGCCTGGGCAGTGCTTGTTTTATTAGGGCCACTGATTCCTTAGGGATGTTAATAATGTCCTACTGGCCAGTCCCACTGGCTTTGGTGGCCATTCTGTGTCCTTTAGATAAGTTTATATCTCTCCGCCATTGAATACATGGTTCATTTTTTTTTTTTTTTTTTTTTTTTTT